TAGCTCTTAGGTGGGCTTGTTGGAAAGTATTTTAGTAGGACTGGAAGAGCAATAGTGATCTTCTAGCCTTATCTACAATCTTTTAAATAATTTTTTCTTAACTTTGTGTTTATTGCCTTTCACTTTGTTCATAGCACATTTTGCATTCACTTTTTAACAGTAGATCTCATTTTTAAAGTAGTTTGGGATATACAGCAGAAAAAAATTGAGCAGAAAGCACAGAATTCTCATATATACCCTGCTACTACACATGCACAGTCTCCCCCACATCAAAATCCACACCAGTGTGGTAAATTTGTTACCACTAATGCTCTCTCACCTGTTATTTTATTAATTTTCAATCCATCCCAATTTTTTGGAAATGATTTGTGGTGTTTGAAAATAACAAAAACTACAAAGAAATAGTTCTAAATGTGCATGAATCATACAATGATAGTCACACTAGGATCTGTGAGATAAATTAATCCAGTTGGCTATATAGGATTTAGCTTTTAGTTCCCTAGCTGCTTGACAGAAATGAAAACATGAGAAGATACTAAAAAGCATATAGGAACATCAGAGAGCCTTTTCATAGTATAAACTGAAAAATAGTAGTATTTTTGTAAAGCACTTAGGCCAAATATGCCTAATAATGGTGAATACCTATAAAATGGTATTGTAGTAATATACATATAAACAAATTAGAACTTAAATAAAAAAGAATTCATCTTGAGTATTTTCATATAATGGGCATTGACCAAAATAAGGGGTCATGGCTTTAATAACAAGCTTATAGAAAAATACATGGGCAACCTCATGTAGTTATTTTCTTATTTTCTTAATATATATTTTTATTGATCTCAGAGAAGAAAGGAGAGGGAGAAAGAGATAGAAATGTCAATGATGAGAGAGAATCATTGATCAGCTGCTTCCTGTAGGCCTGGCACCTGGAATTAAGCCCGTAACCCAAGCATGTACCTTGACCAGTAATTGAACCTTGACCTCCTGGTTTATAAGTCGATGCTCAACCACTGAGCCACACCAACTGGGCTCATCTATTTTTTATACTGACTCTTGATAACAAGTTATCATCATATTGTGAATGCATGTTTTAAATATATAGTTTAAAGATGTAATTTTGATGTTTTTCCTTAATAAGGCCAGGTACTTAGAGAGGATGATAAAAATAGTTTTTAGTGTATATACTTTTAGAATACCAATCATTTTGACAAATCATCATAAATTATTCTTAGCAAATAATTTGAAATGGACTACTGTTGAGTGCTCAAAGTAATGTCAAGTGGGCGCCAGCCATGTGCATTTACTGAGGCAACATATTTGGTATTTTATAAGAAAACTGGAGGCCCAGTGCACAAATTCATGCACCAGTGGGGTCCCTCAGCCTGGTCTGCACCCTCTCCCAATCTGGGACCCCTCAGGGGATGCTGAATGCCGGTTTCGGCCTGAGTGATGTAATAGTGGGCAAGTGACAGGCAGCTGGGGAAGAGTCTGAGCCCAGGCCGGGTGCCACTGAGCCTGCCACTCGGTGTCACTGCCTCAGAGACAGAAGAGGCTCACGCTGCTGCAGCTGTGCTGGCCAGACATGAGATTGAAGACTGGCACCCATTGGTCATCTGAGCAGCGTTCCTGCTGTGGAAGCTCCCTGACCAACAGGGGGCAGCTCCTGCATTGAGTGTCTGCCACCTGGTGGTCAGTGCATGTCATAGTGACTAGTTGACAGGTCATTAGATTGTTCAGTCACTTAGGCTTTTATATATATATAGACTAGAGGCTTGCTGCACGAGGTAGGGGTCCCTCAGCCCAGTCCAATCCAGGACCCCTTGGGGGGATGTCTGACTGTCAGTTTAGGCCTGATCCCTGTGGGATTACTGGCTCCTAACCACTCACCTGCCTGCCTGCCTGATCGCCCCTAACTGCCTCTGCTTGCCTACCTAATTGCCCCTCACTGTCTCTGCCTACCATTTTGATCACCCCCTAACTGCTTGCTCTCCTGCACTGGCCTGATCTCATCCCTAACTGCTTGCTCCTCCACCAGCCTGATCGCCCCTAATTGCCTCTGCCTCAGCCCTGCCACCATGACTTTGTCTGGAAGAAAGTCAGACGTCTGGAATATGTCCCATTGGCCCACTCTAATTAGCATATTACCTTTTTATTAGTATAAATGATTGAACCTAATGAGTCTTCACAAGTGTTAGGCCATACATGTTTACATGACATGAATAGAAACATTTATTAGGAAGCACCATCATGTCTACTGGATGACTTACTATGTGGGGGAGATAAGCCTTTGTCTTGGACATATTTGAGTTAATTTCTGTAGTTGTCACAATCAAAGTCAGATCTGAAGTAATCACTTAAATTCCATTATGAATATTAAAACATTAAAATATCTGTATATTTGGGGGGGAATTCATGTATCTGCATGGGAGGTTTCCATTTTCTAGGGCTTTAGGGTTTATTTTTATTTGTTTTTAATCTCTCTCTTTGATTCCATGTTCACTTAACTGGGAAAATATTACTCCCTCTTCTCCCCCACCCCTCTGCCAGTGGTGCAGATATGTTCAGTGTTAGTTTATATAATTCTTAATGTATTTGACTTTGGCATTCCAAAACCATCTACTTATGACTTTTTAAAATCAATTCATATGTTGAAGTTTTGATAAATATCAAGTTTAGAGTAGCTGTAAAATGTAGGCAAATTAAATATTACTTCACTATCTATAATTTGGTAAATGTTTGCTGTTATTATGTCCAAAGATCATATGAGAAAGTAAGTTTTCCAAGCTTTTCTAGAGTTATTACTTATTGCTTATGCTTAATTTTGTTATGCATTTATAAAATGTGTGTATATATGTTATATACTTTTCCATAGATGAAAATATATGAGGTCTTATTTAATTCTAGAGGCCTGGTGTACAAGGAAGGGTCCCCTCAGTCAAGCTTGCACCCTCTCCAATCTGGGACCCTTTGGGAGATATCCGACTGCCAGTTTAGGCCCAATCTCCAACTGGCAGTCAGACATCCCTATCACAATCAGGAACCACTGGCTCCTAATCACTCACCTACTTGACTGCTTCCTAACTTCCCTCCCAACACACACTTGCCTGATCACTCCTCACTGCCTCTGCATGCAGGCCTGACTGCCACTAACTGCCCCCCACCCCTTCCAGCTTGGTCACCCCTAACTGCCCCCTGCTGCTGGCCTGGCCAGCCCCCAAATGCTCCCCCCCACCCCCAGTGGCCTGGTCACCCCCAACTGCACTTTCCCACCCTCAGGGGCCTATCACCCCTAATTGCCCCCTGTCAGCCTGGTCACTACTTACAGCCTGGTCACCCCCAACTGCTCCCCCTGCTGGCCTGGTTGCCCCTCAAGGCCCCCCTGCAGGCCTGGTCATCCCATACAGCCTGCTTGTAGAGTCATTTGGTCATCCCTCACTAACCCTCCTGCCAGCCTGATTGCCCCATCAGCCTGCTTGTTCAATAATTTGGTTAACCCTCACTAACCCCCCTGCCGACCTGGTGGTAGACAGCCATCTTGTGATGGCATGAGCGTTAATTTTCATATTACCTCTTTATTATATAGGATAAGATAAACTATCATCTCTTTCTATTTAATTATTTAGATTTGAGACCTAATTCATTTTTATTATGTTAAAGGCTATGGGTAGATAGAATAGTATTTTATGAATTTTGAGTTATTTAAAATACCAGTAAGGAAGATGAAGCCCAATACAATCTATACCTAGAACATTTTTGTAGACATTCTGAGTTCACTGGCTAGTGTGGACTCAGTTGGTGGAGTGTTGTCCCATTACCTAAGGGTTGCCGAATGGATTTCTTGTCAGAGCACATAACCAGGTTTCTGGTTGTTCTCTGGTCGGGGTGTTTGCATGAGGCAACCAGTCATTGTTCCTCTCTCATATCAGTGTTTCTTTCTCTCTCTCCCTCTCCCTTCCTTTTGCTCCAAAATAAAATAAAATGTATTTTTAAAAAATATATAAAAGTTAAAATCAAAAGACCTGAGTTTGATGCCTCAATGCTGAGTTTGACTGTATATACTAACAACCCAATTTGTGCCAAAATCCTATTTCAATGATAAATATATAATGTATTAAGTTATTAAATAGTTTCTAAGTTTACATATTCTTAAAATCTATGTGTCTTGATATAATTCAATTTTTTTATATAATTCAATTTTTACATAGTTTTAAAATTAAAGCATTTGGAGAAGGGCCAAACAAACAAACAAACAAAACACACACACACACCACACACACACACACCAAAAAAAAAAAAAAAAAAAAACCCTACAAAAACCCTAAAGTCTAATTAGCTATTACTTAGTAGATTTGAAAACATTTTTTACCATAATTGAATATAACATAATATTTTGCATGTGCTTTTATCTGTTTTGCATAATCCAAATCTTATTTGATTATCTCATTTTCTTTGTGTAATCATTTACATGTCTGATAGTTTTTCCTTTTCCTTCTGACAAACATACATAATGTGTTTTATAATGTTCATAGTTATATACATATATTATTTTTATAGTTTCCTACTAGTACTTAGTAAAAGACAAGTAGAAATATTTTCCTTTGGCTTCTTGTCTATTATTAACTAAATTTTATTACGGTCTTTGGGAATCATAATGGTTATGTTTAGCAGTTCCCATGCTTTCATGATAACAATTCCTAACCAACTGGTATTTTGTATTTATATAAAGGTAAAGCAATTATTGGTAAAGTTATATTCTGACGTTTGAGCTAGCAAGTGCTGCGGAAATGTCTGTAGAGGGTAATTAAATAGACACAAGGGTCTTTTTGTACTGCTGATGGAGCTCTTTGTATTTAGTGACTGAGCTGTTTGAATCCTGGTTAACGTTAGAAGAGAAAAATATTTCTGCTGCTGACCATTGAAGCCTTTTTAAATTCGGCACTGAATGTATTCTTAAAATTGGCAATAAACACACTCCTGCGCACATCTTTTCCCCCCCCTAGGACTATAGAGTTAATATTTTCCTGAGACAAAAGTGGAACGATCCAAGGCTGAAGCTCCCCAGTGATTTTCGGGGCTCAGACGCCCTGACAGTGGATCCCACCATGTACAAGTGTCTGTGGAAACCTGATTTGTTTTTCGCCAATGAAAAAAGTGCCAATTTTCATGATGTGACCCAGGAGAATATCCTCCTCTTTATTTTTCGGGATGGAGATGTCCTTGTCAGCATGAGGTACTCTTTGATCTTTCATATTTGTACATGTATATTTTCTTTTTAAAATCCACGTATCAGGTAGAAATATGCTAAATGACTTCTATGACCTCTGTTTCTACTTTCAGGTTATCTATTACTCTTTCATGCCCATTGGACTTGACCTTGTTCCCCATGGATACACAACGCTGCAAAATGCAACTTGAGAGCTGTATGTAGAATGAAACCCTAAATGACTATAGGAATAAAAATATTTATCTCTAAGCAATGCATTCTACAAATATCTTAGATAGCAATGGTCAAAACTAAGGCTTTTGATGACAAATAGTCATTAGGATAATTTATTTAAGGAGATTATCATTAGTCTTTTACTATATTAACTTGTACTAAAACCAACCCTTTTGGTACTACACTAATTTTGTATTACAGTTAAATTGATGTAGATGTTCACTTCTAACTTATTCCAATTGCCATCTTCCTTTGAATTAGTAAGGTAAGCCTGGTAAAGGAGAAAATGCTGTCCTAATAATTTTCTGATGTTAAGACCACATTTTTAGAGCAGAAAATTTGGAAAACATTAAAAAATATTATTTACATCCTACCAAACATTCATTTTTTTCTATAAATTTATAAACGTTATTTTTTTTACAAAATTGGATTTTCTATGTTTCTACGATCAGATATATTTCATAGCATAAAACATGAAATAGGTGCACTAATTGAAATGGTTACTTCTAAAAATATTAATTTGCTATAATGCTTAAGTTTTGAAAATAAAACTCAAAATATTAACACTAATAGAAGGGATATTTAACCTGATTAGTTGTTTACCATAACCTATTTCTATAGAGAATAAACAATAATAACCTTGTATGCAAGCATATCTTGTTGAATGATATGTTTTAAAATTAATGATTAGCTGTTTAGGGTTTTTTTAAGTTACTATTAAATCTGGATCTTAAATTTGAATATTTATTGCTTTCTAAGTATAAAATAAGATTTTTCAGATGTTAGTGTATATATGCCCATGTTGGTGTATATATATCATACATATGTGTGTTTGTGTATTTTCATTTAAAAATTCAACTATGTATTCATATTCCATTCTATTATCAGACGAAATAAAATATTGCTTTAAAAATATATGCACTTTAGAGTTGAACGGTAGGTTATTATATGCTGTAAAAGCCCATGTGATAAATCCCTGAGTAGTAGCCACATGACTTAAGCCCAGAATGTGTGCTTCAGAATGTCATAATGATGGACACTGGGCCGGTTGCAGGGTGGGGGGTTGGGGGGATGGAGAGATGGGATTGTTTTTTATTGCTCTCCTGTGGCAATGCAACCCCTTTAGGGAAATTTGTAGTTACTTCTTAAAAATTTTCTTTAAAATATTTTGGTGCTTATATTTGTTTTAAAATTTCCAGGCACTATATTGCATGATTCGAAAGCTAGTATCACTTATTTATTACTTTTTCTTATTGATGACATTGCAGAAATATCAAATAATGTATATGACCCTAGGATTTTATTTATACTATGCTAAATATTTTAATATGTTTTCTTTAAGACAACTGTCTTTAACTTTTGTGTTAATATTTTTATCAGTGGCTATAGATACTACCTAATTTTAATAACAATTTCATGTCTCATCATTTTGGTGTGAATATTTGAATTATTAAAATACTAAGAAAGCATTAATAATTGCATTTCAAACTAATAATTTTATTTATTTTTGTTTATAGTTGGTTACACAACTGATGATTTACGATTTATCTGGCAGTCAGGGGATCCTGTTCAGTTAGAAAAAATTGCCTTGCCTCAATTTGATATTAAAAAGGAAGACATTGAATATGGTAATTGTACAAAATACTATAAAGGCACTGGTAAGTAATGATCTTTTAGTTAAACAAAACTAAATTCTATTTCAAAGATTTTATTATTAATATATGCTAAGGGCAAAATAGAAGAAAACTAGTTTAAAGTAAGTTAAATATTTATAAGTAGTATATCTTTAAATTATTGAATTTAAATCTCTCATAAAATTGAATTCACTAAAGTTTTTAAAAACATTTTTATTACTGGAGAATTTTGCCTTTTTTAATATAATTCTGGGTAGGAAGAGGTTTTCAATTTTTTATTTTAGTAATATGAACTTAGCCAGATAGTGGCTTTCTTAGATGTTATGAAGAAATTCTACTTCTGGCAAGATTCAATTTGGAACCAAACACAGTAGATAGGAGCAACATAATTCATTTATACTCATTTATTGTCTGTGAGCAATTTTTAGGTAGTGGTTGACCAATATTATTAGTTGTAAAAAGCATTAATCTTCATACTGTGCAAGAAGCAATAAGTGTGTGAAGTAATTGGACATAAGTCAATATTTTTGTATGTTTAATATATGTGACCTAGGTTATGGAATAGCCAATTATGAAAAGCACAACAAATTAACCTCATTCACTAATTACTTCAAGCTTTTACAGAAATAAAAATACAATAATCACTACTCAATCCTTTACAATACGATTATTCTTAACCTTTGAGTCTCTATTGATATATGTTACTGAGTGATTTTATATATTAAATATAGTGGTATTTTAACCAGCAATATAAATAAAAAGTGATTGAATTTTTATCATTACATTAATACTAATCATCAGTTTGACTTGTAAATACCACACAATTCTAATTACATTTTAGGAAGTAAATCAAGACAAAGATATTCAGGGATAGACATAGAGTTTACATTTATGGAAACATCTATGTCGACTCTTCAAAAATAACAATGTATAGTGTAATATATAGAATTCAGCAATATCAAATGTTTGAGCTAAAGTGTTGCCATCATGACATCCAAGAATAAAATATAATTTAAAATATTTCTGTTGATATTAAAATAAAAGGTGGAGTGAACATTTGCATATTAAGAGTATTGTAATAAATGCAACACTAGACAATTCAGAGGTAAAGTTAGTTTAAACATCTGTTGTTGTTGATCTTCAACTAAATGAGCAGTCTTTAGGAATTATTTACATATAAATGGTGTGTAGTCAATTTTTATATAAATGTTATATATTTTTTAATTTAATAATTGAGTATTAAATAGTCTTTGGGGACTATTTACATATATTTTACATTATTTATTTACATAGAAATGTTATATAACCCGTTACTTTATTTAAAGGTCAATAACAGATGCTTAAACTAACTTTGTCTACAAATTGGTTAGTGTTGCATTCATAACACTGCCAGAGCGGAGGGGAATGATGGCAGAGGTGAAAAGGTAAAGGGGAATAAGAGGTGCGAACTTCTTATTACAACTATAAAGTCAGCAGGTCAGGAGGATGTAATGTATAGCCTAGGGAATATATTCAGCAATCTATAATAATAAAAATGTAATATGCTAATTAGACTAGACATCCTTCTGGATGACCTTTCCAAGGAAGCTGCAGTGGTGGGGAAAGGCAGAGGCAGCTGCTGCAGAGGCAGGGGCCAAGCCACTTGCAGGAATTTTGTGCATCGGGCCTCTAGCATTATAACTTTGTACATGACAAATGGTTACTAGACTTAGCATGGTGATCACTTCATAAACTTTATAAATGTGGGGTCATTATGTTATACACCTGAAACTAAAACAATATTGACTGTCAACTATACTTGGATAATAAAAAGTAATTACCGAGTTTTTTGAAAGGCAAAACTGACCTCTTAGAAAAGTGGTCTTGTAAGTACTCAATGAACAAATCATAGACACATAGAATTTTAAATATGGAAGGAACCAGATTGACACTGAAATAAAATAACTTAGATATAGAATGACTGAATGTCACCAGGCAAATCAGGGTCAGCCATAGCCTAAGCATATAGTATAGTATTCCTTTTCTCTATACTCCCCATTCAAATTAAGGAGACTGACTACAGTTTTAGGGATTTTTTACAACTCACCTAGTAATTATAATTAAAAAACAATCAAACTTGAAAGTCAAGAAAAATCATTTGAGATGGTTGTGAAAACACATATTTAGCAGGTGATTTTTTGAGTTCTGGCTCTATTTTGGGCTATATTCTAACTGATTTGTAGGAATTCTATGACTTAATCCTCACAACAAAGCTCTGAGTTCATTTCTTTTATTCTCCCTGTTTATACATTGGGATAATGAAGCAAAGACACTGCCCAAAGTCTTCTGCTACTAAATGATGTCCTGCGATAGTGGGTCTGACATCACTACACAACTTGTGGAGTCAGTCCTATTGGACTTTGAAAAGACTTACCCACATCCAGATTATATGCTCAACATTAAGTCTATTGTTTTTTTGGGGAAAGTAATATGTTTATCAAAGTTTTAAAATTCATCTAGAGGTGAAAATAAAACTAGTAATCTTATTTCTAATTTTATGTAATAGCATAAAATTATGGAGCAGCATTGAAATTATGGGGCTTTTAATTTTAATTTTTTTACCTTTAATCCCTTCATTTAAAAGTCCCCATTTGGGGATTCAACAGTGAATAAAAGAGAGAATGATATTCTTTTATAGATTCATACTCTAATATGGTAAATAAATAAACAGATATAGTTTATTTTAGTTCTGAGAAGTAAATGAAAAGGTGTGCTGTGGTAGAGAATACTTGAGGAATTACTCAAGATTTATGATAAGTAAAGCATTTTGTATAATTTTTGTTATCATAAATAAGTCTCTGTTATCTCAGTAGTTTCAGAAAAAATAACAAAAAAACTTAAGGTTCATATAAAAATATTTGGCACTGTGTTTCAGTAAACATGCTTTATCAGCATTTACATGAATCATATGAATACAAGTAAATCATAAATTAATCTTTGCATAACATTTAGAAATATATTTAGAAAAATAGAACATTCAAAACATATGGAATGTTCAATCAAGTAGTGAAAAGATATAGAGAACAACATATATAAAATAATGGTCTATATTTTCTTTAATGTGTACAGAAACATCAGAAATAATGAATTGGCTCTAATTGGTTAAAAATTTTTAATAATTGTAGAAATTGCTAGGGTGGAGAAGTATGTGGGAAAGCAAGTATACAAAAATACTTAAATTGGAAGCCAGAGTGAACAATAATGAAATGAAATCCCACAGGAAATAGAAAGTAAATTGAATTTGCCAATGAACATTTATATCAATTAGCTGCCCACCTGCCTCTCATAAATGTAACAATACCAGAAAGAGATCAAAAAAGGTCAAGAAATGTTTCTCATAAAAGTTTATGGAGCAAATCGCGATAATATCCAAGCCTGTATTTGCCAAATGTGTCCAGATCTTGGGAAGCTACCCCAGAGTTGCCTTCCTAAGGGAACGTGGTGGGAACCAGCGTTAGAATGCAGACTCATGTTATTTGGGCTGTCACTTAACTACACATGGTGGGATGGAATGCAAAAATTTGTTTTAAAAGTGAACTCTATAGTAAATTATCATATTTGTGACTACTTGGGCTACCTAAAAATACTTAAGCATATTGTGTCATTCCCTATTTCTCACATACTAGACGAATATAAAATTAACTTAAGTGATACATTAAAAGCCTAGGTACTTATGAACCACTTGTGGGAAATACTGTGAGCTCTTAACCATTGCATATTGGGTTTATGAAGATTATATTTTGGAAAATGTGCACGTGATTGTTAGTTAGAAACATATGTTCTTGTTTGTCTGGGCAGGAAGTTAAGATGAGTTGGCTGGAAATAGAAAAGGGAAGGATTTATTTTTTATTGGTTTGCCTTTTATATCTTTTAAACCTTGTGTCTAGTTTTCATGAAATTAAAATTTAAAAAGAAAAACAACATTCTGCATTTATTGTTTTTTGACAATATGGAAACATGTGGCATAATTAGAATTTGCTTCAGTCCAAATTAGCTATTTATTGTTCTTACATGTTAGCTCTAATCATCACAAATTTTGTTATAAGTACCATTAATGAATAAATATAATGATTGTTCTAGTGTCAGGAGTATATACATTCTTTATAACCATGAAAAAAGATCAATATTACTTTTTAAATGTAAAATAGTAAAAAGTAATATTGTCCTTTTCCTATAATTATTTTATTTACTCATTGTCAAATTTATTTGTTTCAACATTTATAAATAACAATGTGCAGTTTAGTCTGAACACAACTGAAGATATTTTAACTTCTTGGTATTTGTACATAATCTTACTTTTGTTGAATGGTAAATGACATTTTTATTTCAAGTTAGTGCTTTAGGCATTAAATATCACATTTAAATTGCTGACTGAAAGGATTAGAACATTTAAAAATTAAACTCAAACATCTGGAAATATTCCAGTGTTAGGAGAATATTTATGTCACTTATTTTCTGTCTCAAGTCAGCAATGGTTATTATGAGGCTGCTCATAATTTGTGATTAATTTTGGGGGACTAGTTGATGTCATGGCAGCTCTAAAATTATGTTGTAAAGAAATGTCTGCATTTGTCTCAGCTTGTGAAAATGAAGTCCTTTCCCTCAATCAGAGAATGTTTGAGGGCAGGGAGAGGAGGAAGGGAGAATTGAGAGGAATTAGAAAGTAAATTGAATTTGCCAATGAACTTTATACAGATGCTTGTACTTTATAATATTTTATCTATATCAAATGAAAACACTTATTCTTGCTAATGTTTATTTCCAATACGTTCTTAATTTTTAAGGCTTAAATATGCATATAAGTGTAGGAGACTGCCATGCTTTCTAGATAAGAAGTGATACATGAGGCTGAAAAATTATACTGACCACGTGTAGTCCAGGAGTGTTTCCTTCTGGACTTGTCCTGATTTGGTTTACTGCTCCCTGGATGATTCCTTGAGATCATTTGCTCTGAGAGCAAGTGAAAAGTTTAAGTCCATTGCAAATTCTCTGAACAAAGGCTTCTAGCCAAGACAGTAATGTAAGTGGAGCCACACATTGGTATCTGTTTATCAATGTAATAATGAAGTTGTAAAAGGTCAGGTGAAACTGGCCCGACAGTGTCATTCTTAAAGACCACATCATTCACACACACACACACACACACACACACACACACACACACACACACACACATACACACACACACACACTATTTGACTTTGTAAAACTGTCTCAAATAAAAGTAACATAACTTGTAGGTACCTTACATGATTTCTGAAACAGATGTGAGTGAGAACCTCATGTTTTTAATACGTTTGTTTTGGAAAGGGTACTACACCTGTGTGGAAGTCATCTTCACCCTGAGGAGACAGGTTGGGTTTTATATGATGGGCGTCTATGCCCCGACCCTGCTGATCGTGGTTCTCTCCTGGCTTTCCTTCTGGATCAACCCTGACGCCAGTGCTGCCAGAGTGCCGCTGGGTAAAGTGCTCCATGCTTCCCTCTTGTGTCAAGAGTGTGTGATGTCTTTATTGCACTAACTATACAGTCAAATATTTTGAGATAATTAGTTTGGGAATTGATGGCAAGCTTTTTCTTTTTTTTTTTTTTTAACCTCCTTAAAATCTACCATTAAGTTAGATTTTCTCAATATTTAGGCACTCTCTAATTAAACTAAGATGTTTTTTGTTTTGTCTGTGTGTGGGTGTGTGTGTGTGGGTGTGTGTGTGAGTGTGTGTGTGTGTGTGTGTGTGTCCATCCTCGGGCCATTTTCAACAGTAAATCTATCCTACTTTGACTTTCATAAAATAATTATTAATATGTGATATTCACTGATAGCTAAAGCCTAAAATACCAAATAGTGACAAACTTAGAAAAAATGACTTTTAAGACAATCTTTCCTATACTCTTTATCAGGAATATAAAATCCTACTTCTTTTTTTAAAAAAAATGACTAAGAATGATTTTCTTAAACATCAGTATGTGCTATATCATCAGCAGTGGCTAGAAAGAGTAGGGCTGGTTATTCATACTCTCCAATTTATTATTTTTAATGTTCTGTGACATGGAAGCACCATTAGCCAGAGGTGAAAATCCTGTCAGTATAGGGATTAAAAGGACTGTGCTTGGGGAGATCATCAAGAGCCTTTCTAATGAATAAAGGGAATGAATTCCAAAATAAGGACATTGTAACGTATTTGTTTGGAGGGTTTTAAATCTTTTCATGACTGTGTGTATATGTATGTGCATGCCTATGTGCATGTTCTGAATATTACCTAGAATTCACATAGGTAAAAATGTGATATATTTGACTTCTCAGTGAACTGACTGATAGGTTGCAGAATTTTATCATTTTTTCTTCTATCAGAAAAGCCTTGTGAAAATCTCTTTGTTCCAACTTATGGGAATAACTAAATGAATTATAGATTTTGAAAAGGAGACCAGGAAAGAAGCAATGAAAATGACAACTTTGTCTGAATAAGAAATTTGGAGGTTTACATCTAATAAAAACCACAGAGACCAAATCTATGTCTTAATAACCAAACTTGTAGGAAACTTTATTCTAAGGATCACATATCAGTATTAAGACAATGATGATTGATAGATTAATTATTGTAGAGGATAAGAAATAACGAGGGAGTACAATGTTCTGGGAACAAAACACCCAAAACTAGACTTAAATTACTAGACTTGTCAAAAACATTATGCATTCCCCCCAAATTGTCAATATATTTTACTCTCATGCAGTAACACAGGGGTGAGCAAAAGTAGGTTGTTTTTTTTTTTGTTGGTTTTTTTTTTTGTGTGTGTGTGTGTGTGTGTGTGTGCGCGCCATTGTGGCATTCTTTTGTGTGTGTGTGTGTGTGTGTGTGTGTGTGTGTGTGTGTGTGTGTGTGCGCCATTGTGGCATTCTTTTGAGTTAGCAAAGCTACTGTAATAATCATAACCTGCATGTCTTTTTCCATATGAACAACTGTAAGCCTACTTTTGCCCTGCCCTGTATAACTCAAATTGTCAGTACATTTATACATGGAATACTACTCAGCCATAAGAAAAGATAAAATACTGTCAATTGTGGCAACAAAATAAGTCAGAAAAAGCTAGAACCCTATGATTTCACTCGTATGTGGGATATAAAACTGAAACTTACAGGCACAGACAACAGTATGGTGGTTACCAGAGGGAAGGAGCTGAGAGGAATAGTAAAGGGTAAAGAGGACCAAGTATAGGGTGACAGAAGACGATTTCATTTTGAGAAGTGAGCATACAAAGCAGATTACAGATGATGTATCATGGAAATATACACTTGAAACATGTGTGATCTTAGTGCCCAGTGCCACCCCAATAAAATTAATGAAAAAATAAAATATAAGGAAATGTCTGGCTCTCAAGGGTACTTTAATATTACATATTGCAGAATTTCATCCTTTCCTTTAAAACCAGAATCATTTATTTTCTCTAAAATAACCAGGAATGTTCTCTACTTTGTCTTTTTTTTATTACATTTTTTTAAATGTGACCCTTATCAGAAAATTGCTTTATATGTTCTATTTTTATTCTGATTTAGCTATTCTTGGGATCAAATTCAACTCTATGACTGTCTAAAATAATGCAAAAGAAATGAAATAAGCTTTGTAGCTTCCTCAGAGATACTATAGAAGAGTTTTAGATAGCTTTAATATTTAAACCAGCTCCAAAATGTGTTTTTATATCTCGGTTTAAATTTCTATTTTTTTGTTTAAAGTACTGAGTATTTATAAACATCCCCAACCACATTTAGTAATGCTGACATAAAAAGTCTGTATGTATTATTTCTTCTACCCTTTGTGCTTTAAAGGGACCTGATGAATTGTTCATGAGTGTCTGGACAGAGATTTAGTCAAAGAGTAATGGTTGCAGGACATTTTTTTTCACAGGGCTAAATAGCAACTTTAATTCCTACTTCTGTTTCTGTAGGTATCTTTTCAGTACTCAGTTTGGCCTCTGAGTGCACAACCCTTGCTGCTGAACTTCCCAAAGTCTCCTACGTGAAGGCTCTTGATGTATGGCTCATTGCTTGTCTTCTCTTTGGGTTTGCTTCCCTCGTGGAGTATGCTGTTGTCCAGGTGATGCTAAATAACCCCAAACGAGTTGAAGCAGAAAAAGCCAGAATTGCTAAGGCTGAGCAAGCAGAAGGAAAAAGTGGAAATGCCATTAAAAAGAATACTGTAAATGGTACAGGGACTCCGGTTCATATTAGCACTTTGCAGGTAAGAATGAAATTATCCAATCAGATGATTTCCTCCATCATGGCTCTCTAGTGCCAGGAGAGAAATCTGTTCTGTGGGTCTAAAGGTTTGATTGAATTGGTATTCACTCACTTTTTTCCTCATTGATGAGAAGAAACTAAGCACAACATACTTTTCGGAAAACGTGTAGGTCGCATACTCATTAAGGAGAAAAGTCCAACTTCTTATCACGTTTTTGGTGGACTTTCCATTGAGTTTAATGATGTTTCTCTGCTTTGATGGTCACCATCCCATGTGGAGGTCTTGCCAGAACTCCGGACCTCCTTACAAACATTTCTCATTTGTGAGCTTTAGTGAAAGGCCAGAGGACTCCTGGCTATTGGTGCACTGCATCCTAAAACCTTGAAACATTTGCTTGTTTTATTTGCTGGCCCCATACTACTCAGATTGTTGACCACTCCCCTAAGTTAGACAAGTATGTTATATACATATTTTTATGTACAAAAGCAAGTAAACAATTCTTATGTGATGCTGCCTATAGATTTTCCCTTTTTGTTAAGTAATTGAAGTCACTTTCTGAGACTACAACTAAGACTTCTGCAAATTATTAGTTGCCATGTTGGAGGACATTTCCTCCGACCTTATAAGTCTTTAATACCCTAATCATTTTCATGAAGAATAACATTTTCATTAATGCAGAGCTATGATGGCCTTAAAGAAGTAATGTCTTTGCCCAGCTAGTGTCACTCAATGGTTCAGTGTCAATTCATGAACCCAGAGGCTACTGATTCAATTTCCAGTCAGGACATATGCACAGGTTGTGGACATGTGGCAACAGACTCATGTATCTCTCTCATCAATGTTTCAATCTCTCTATCCATCTCCTTTCTTCTCTCTTTAAAATCAGTAAAAAAAAATTTTTTAAAAAGAAGTCATGTCTTTGACATATCTTACCTGCCCATTTTCATCTCCCAATTTTACCACTTCCTCATATTTCCAACCAATTAATCTTCCCACCCTCTACCTTGGGTTCCGGTGAAGAGATCTGGAGATAGAAAGCAAAGATGTCCTATAGAACAGGTGCTTGACTTCCAGTAGTGGCACAATCAACTCCATTCTGTGGTGTGTGGTGGGGCCTCTGTAACTGCAGAAATTCTCTAGTAACACAGAACACCAATGTGCAGATGAGCTTGGAATCTTAATGCGTTCCATGAAGCGGGGTATTGAAGGAAGGAAGCACATGAGAACCAGATTTTCAGAATACTGTAGAACATATCAAGATTATTTATGAATATAAATATGAAGAATAAATAGGATCCAGAGTATTAGACTGAGTTATATTATTTTAAATTCAGCTTTTAAGCATGAAATAATGACCTAATGAATAAAAGTTCAATATGCTTAATAACTTCTGTATTTTAATCCTCTATGTTTTTAGTTGCTAGTAGAAACAGACCTGTCTGGATTCTAAAATTGCTATGACATTTTACTACAAAAGTGATAGAGTGTGATGCTTAGAGAATATAAACCTTGACCAGAAATTCTAATATCCAAATGTAAATGTAAACTACTCTTATTTTTTACAGGCCAAAATGCAATTTCCAAAATTAATATTGTAACTATGTAATGTTTATATCATCAGACAGGCTTCAAAATGAGAGTATGTGTCCAAAAATAACTTAGCTTTAATGTAAGCATCAAACTTACAGTAAATGTATGTGATGAATTTGTAAGATTGTTACACACTGACACATGAAAAAAAGTATGAAAAAGGAATTTAAACAATTTTTGCCTTTTTATTTAGTGCTTTTGGTTTCAAAAATCTATTTGCTCTATTGTATTTTGCTTTCGGAACATAAGCTTTTACTGAGTAATTTCAATCAGATATGTCATTTATTTTTAGACAGAATAACAATATTAATTAATGGAAGCATAACAAAATTTGAATTGTAGAAAACATTTAATGCTGATTTTTAAAAATTGATTTTAGAAAGGAAAGGAGAGGGGAAGAGAAATAGAAACATCAATGATGAGAGAGAATCATTGATCGGATGCCTCCTGCACGCCCCCCACTGGAGACCAAGCCTGCAACCTGTGCACGTGCTCTGAACAGGAATCAAACTGTGATCTCCTGGTTCAGAATTTGATGCTCCAGCACTGTGGCACACCAGCTGGGCTAATGCTGATTTTTTAATAAAGCTCTTGCTAAGAAAGATAATGATAAAAAATGTAAGAAAGATCAATGATAATTTAACCTAGCTTTTAGTAAGAAGTTTTCATAATTTCGACTACATACAGAAATATACCTAAATCCTATCAAATAAAGTGAATATGCTAATTGACCCTCAAGCCATTGCAAAGATGGAGGCATCCATAGCCAATAAAGAGGGAATATGCTAATTGACTGCACCAACCTCAAAGATGGCGGCATCCAGTTCCCTCAGCCCCACTGGGACAGCAGGCAAGCCTGCCTCCAGAGTCCCTCAGTCCCCTCAGCCCTCCAGCTGCCCAGGGCCGGCCTGAGATGCAGGAAAGCCTCAGATGGTAGCTGCCCAGCCACCCAGGGCTGGCAGTGGCAACAGGAGAAGTGTGATGGGGTGTTGCCTTCTCCTGATTGCTGGGTCACCTCCCGCCCCTGAGGGCTCCCAGACTGTGAGAGGGGGCAGGCCAGGCTGAGAGACAACCCCCCTCCACTGTATGAATTTTCATGTAGCAGGCTTGTAGTTCATTTATAATTCTCTAAGTTTTTCCTCCCTAAATTTTGTACTTCCTCAGCTCTTCTAATATTTTGGTTACTAATTTGTTCACTCATATATTTCTTTTTTATTTAATAAGTACAGTTAAGGACCTACTTTTGTCAATATCATCTTGTTCTTAATACCTAGTATATGCTATTTACAACAAAGGTATTTTGAATAAAAGACAAAAATATTCATGTATATGGATTTGAATAAATTTGTATATAAAAGTTGCTGTTCATACATGAATAAAATAGTTGTTTCTTTATAGAAATGATGTGTTTTTAAAGTTAAATGTTGATTTAAATTTTGTGTAAAATATTGAGTTTATTCATTTTGAGCATATTTTTATCTTCTGTGGAAATAGCATTATCTATCACATTGAAATTATGCCTAAGTCTTCTGTTTAAGAAACATCATAAAAGGTGATTTGGAATTAAATGTGCATAGACACAGACTGAAAAAGGATCAGAAGGAAAATATCAGAGGTTAAAATTTGAAGTATTAGGTAGTTTTAAATCTGCATTATTTTTTACTAGAGGCCTGGTGCATAAAAATTCATGCACTGAGAAGGGAATCCCTCAGCCTGGCCTGCCCCCTCTCACAGTCCAGGAGCCCTCAGGGGCTGGTGGCAACCCTGTGATCAGGAGAACGTAATACCCCCATCACAGCTCTGCTGCTGCCACTGCTGGTAGTGCAAGCCTCAACTGGCCCTGGTTACCTGAGCCTCGGGTGGCCCTGGAGAAGCTGGGCAAATGTCATCCAAGGCTTGCCTGCACCTTGGCCAGCCCTGGGAAGCTGGGGGGCTTAAAGGATGGGGAACTCTGGAGGCAGGCACACAAGCAGCTGGTCCCGGCTAGGGGTGGGCCCAGGCATGCTGCACACCTGCTGCCCCAGCAGAGCTGAGGGGATTGGTGCCACCATCTTGTGGCTTTAGTTGTCACCATATTTGAGGGTGTGGCAGTCAATTAGCATATTCCCTCTTTATTATATAGGATTTTTTATAGTTTCATTATTATACTATTTCATTTTTGCTACCATCAATTTTGAGAAGTGACAAGGTTATATGAAAGTGAGACCCATATGAGAAAATAATGAGAAATTATAAATTGAAGATTAATATAATCAAGATCACTTTTAAGAATGTGTTAATAATTACTAAGGTCACTGTTTGATTTATAATATAAGCATTTTATTGAGCCCTTCTTCATGTGATAATTGTTTAAAATAGTGTTTATATTATAAACTACTTTATACTTTTATGTACATATAAATGATACATATGTGTAGAGAGTAATTAAAAAAGGAAGTTGTCTGCTTAAAATCTCTGATGAAAGGGTCAAGATTAGATCAGCCAATTTGTTAATGAATCATGAGCTATTTAAGGAACCTGAGAACTTCTCAGTAGGAAACTTAATCTTATACCTTATTTAGGTATGTCATATCAGTAAAAATTACTTCTGTACTAGATAGAGGTTCTCTCCACCAACACATGTGCACGCGCACACACAAACACACACACACACACACACACACACACACACACTCAACCCCACTGATTTCAAATACATCTCTGGAAAAGGTTTTAACAAAATAAATAGTTAAAAATTTAGTATAACCAAATTGAAGCTTTTTTTGGAGTGCTTTTCTATGCTATATGTTAATATTGAAGAAATCTTTCCTCTCTTACTGACATGTTTACTATATTTAAATAATATTTCTGAATAAATATTCTATACCTAGATTTGAATAAACTATATAGATAAAATTCTAACATCAGTAAAATTGCTAGAATAATCTAAGAATGTTTATGTAAATATGTTTATGTAAATAAAAGTAATTAAAATTTTATTTTATGTAAATAAAAACAATTTGAAGTATTTTTGTGTGACAAGTCCTAATATCATAAATTTGGCTTCTTGTTTAGTTATTTACAGATACAAAAGCCACAAATAAAATATGATTTACAGTAAATGCATTTCTATAGCAAATACATGTGGACTTTTTTTGTGAAAAATAAAAATAACTGGTAAGAAGTCACGCTTTCTAAATCTAAAGCTAGAGATCTTCTTTTTTCTGATGAGTGGATCTAAAGTACAGTTAATACATCTAAAGCTTTTAGAGTGGAGAATTCTAAAGGGAGAAAATGTGCATATCCACCTCGTCCCAGATTTTGAAGAATGCCTTAATAGTTTGAGGATAATGCAAAGATTTGGTGTGTAGAGTCTGTTCTCAATTTGTCTTCCAGTCAAGGTAATTAGGTACTCTTACAAAAACTCACTGATACATGCTGAGACCTACACATTCCTCAAACAGCCCTGGAAACCTAGACCTTTAAATGTGGTCTTCTATCTGGAACAGAATAATCTCTGTAGCATACAATCTGGCTAAAATATGCACAATTTCTTCAGGTTCTCTGAATGTGGTTTACTAATTTAACTGTAGCCAACAAGATAGGATTCCTTTCACTAATAAAGCTGTGGTTCATGATCGTGGTGACTATCTTTTAGTTCTTATTTGTGAGTGTGGTCTCATTGGGATGATAAATATCTTTATCGTTTATAAACCACCCTATTTGGAAATAGTATCCGCAATTCAAAGCTTTAAGTAAAGGAAGATTTCTGTAACCCATATATTGTAGTAATATGGTTTGTGTTGTGATTAAATATTGGATTTTTATTCATTGGTCTTTCCATTGAGAACTCAGAAGCCTAGGAGCACCTAAGATAAAGGTTTATTTGCATCTTGATCCCTTAACATAAAATAACCCATCGAAGTTCATTCCATGACCTAAACCTTGATATACAGGCCACATTTTAGAGTTAAATGTCCAGGCACTCTGATGGTTTAATCAATTGTCTATTATATCTGATTTTTAAAAATAACCTTTTGAAGAGATGTGTTTTATAAATAGAAAATTATAAATACACTCTTTGCTTAATTTTTATTTCAAGGTTGGTGAGAACAGATGCAAAAAAGTTTGTACTTCTAAGTCTGACCTGAGATCTAATGACTTCAGCATTGTGGGAAGCTTACCAAGAGATTTTGAATTATCCAATTATGACTGCTATGGGAAACCTATCGAAGTCAACAATGGACTTGGGAAATCTCAGGCAAAAAGCAACAAGAAGCCTCCCCCCGCCAAACCCGTTATTCCAACAGCAGCAAAGAGAATTGATCTTTATGCAAGAGCGTTGTTTCCTTTCTGCTTCTTGTTCTTCAATGTTATATATTGGTCTGTATATTTATGATACATTTTTCCCATTTCTATAAAAAACAATCCCATTTCATTGTGACCAACCTCACTCATCAATGCCAATCTATGAAAATACATTGCATTTGGATGCCATTTGATTGTTAAAAAAACAAAAACAAATGTGGCACCTTAATTTTGAATGGCAGCATGGTCTTGTTACATGTGCTCTAAACATGATGTATATATGTATAGCAAACATATTGCTTTAGGAATAAATGAAGGGTAAGCATACTACATAAAATAAAACTCAAATAATTCTCTGCAGTTAGTGTAAATTGCAAATACTTAAGATAATTCTGATAAAATGACATGCACGCTGAATCCTGTTATGATCACCATTCTAAGATATGTAGTATTTCAAATTTCCTTCCTTGTAACTTTCAGAGAAAGCCATCGTATTCTTGTATAATTTTTGATGGTTTTATCACAGATTAAGCAAAATTATATTACATATTATTTAAACTTTGTAAGTAGAGTTATATCAGCTATAATTATGTGGGCTCTGTGGAGAAATAAAGTTTAGAAATTTACTAATTTGTAAAATCAGCTCATTTTAAAGTGTGTCTGTGTTGTCAAAAGGCCAGATAATGAAACACAGTAATCATTTTTGAAGCAAAGGGATATCTGGATTTATGTAAATATACTGAATTCTGGCTTCTGATAAGATAAAAAATAAAGAATAGATACATTGATTAAATATTTCTGATAAGAGAAATTGTATTTAATCCACATTAAATTAAATTGTATTTAATTCACAGACTTCAGTTTGCTGATACAGAGTATACACAATAATTGTGCCTTACAAAGAGTGATATCTAATTTAAATTGGTATATAGCAAAGAATATGTGATTAATATCATATTTAAGAAACTAAGAGGAAAATGCCCTATTATTGAAGTAATTTGATTTGAGGTAGCAGGGTTGAGGGGAGCCCATAATTATTTAAGACTTTTATTTTATTGAAATGTTTACATATTTTTAAGTAAAAGTAAATTTTTTTTATTCATTTATTTTTTGCATTTATTTAGATATTATTTTTAAATTTGTCACAAATAATTAAAAATTAGGTAAATATCTTTATTTATGTTATGCAGGACTTCTCTGTATGTCCTTTTTTGCTAAAAGTCTAGACTACTTAGATTTGCTTAGTTCATCTTGTTGCAACCTGAAAATAGGAACTTTGTAATCTCTAAGACTCCTATTTCCTAGTTATATCACAGTACCTTTTTATTTCTCCAAAGCTGAAATTAGAATGATCAGTAATTTACATAACATAAATATATAAGGCCAAATAAATATATTTATTTGGAGAGTTTTGTTTGTATGGTCAATTCTATAATAAAATGTACTTAAGTATTTTTAATATAAATTGTGATATTATTTAATGCTATTTTATTGAAGACTTTAATAGTTGTTTGTAATGTTTTCCTTACAAACCTGTGTATTTCTTTGGGGTCCGTTGTTACTTCTCTTTCATTTCTGATTTCATTTTTTTGTGTCTTCTCTCTTTTATTCTTAATGAGTCTGCTTCAAAGGTTTGTTCAGCATCTTTTCATAAAACCAGGTTTTGGTTTCATTGGTCATTTGTATTGTTTTTTGTTTGTTTGTTTGTTTGTTTTTTTAGTCTATTTCATGTATTCCTTCTCTGAACTTTATTATGTCCTTTCTTCTTCTCACTTTGGGCTTTGTTTGTTGTTCTTTTGCTAATTTCTTTAAACGTGAAGCTTGAGATTTTTCTTGTTTTTTGAGGTAGGCCTGTGGTGCTATGAATTTCCCTCTTAGTCTGCTTTTACTCTGTCCCACCCATTTGGGGTTGTGTTCTCATTTTCATTTGTTGCAAGGTAACTTCTGATTTCTTCCTTAGTAACATGTTATTTATCCTCCGTGTCTTTGTGTGTTTTTTCAGGTTTTTCTCCCCTGTGATTGATTTCTAGTTTCATACAATTGTGGTCAGAAAAGATGCTAAATCTGACTTCACTTTTCTTAAATTCATTGAAATTTGTTTTGTGGCCTTACATGAAGTCTATCCTAGAAAATGTTCCCTGTGTACTTGAAAAGAATGTATATCATAGTGTTTTGGGGTGAGATACTCTGAAAATATCAATTAAATCCATGTGATCTAGTGTGTCATTTAAGGCTGCTGTTTCCTTGTTGCTTTTCTGTCTGGAAGATCTATCCATTGATTTCAATGGAGTCCTAAAATCCCCTACTATGACTATAGAGCTATTGGTTCCTCCCTTTATGTCCACCAAGGTTTGCTTTACATATTTATGTGCTCTTATGTTGGGTGCTTAAATGTTTTAAGAGTTATATCCTCTTATTGGATTGTTCCCTTTATCATTACACAGTGTTATTCTTTGTCTCTTACTGTAGTCTTTGTTTTAAAGTCTATTGGTCAGATATAAGTATTGCTATTCCAGCCTTTATTGTATTTCCTTTTGCATGAAATATCTTTTTCCATCAATTTACTTTTAGTCTGTGTGTTTCTCTCATTCTGAGGTGGGTCACTTGTAGACAGCATATTTGAGTTTTGTTTTCTTATCCAGTCAGCTCCCTGTGCCTTTTGATTGAAGCATTTAAGCCATTGACATTTAAAGTGATTATTGATAGGTATGTAATATTGCCATTTTATTCTTTTAACCATGTTCCCTGTTTGTTTGTTTGTTTTTGTTATTTTTTTCTTTTTCTTAAAGATGAACATTTAACATTTTTGTTTTGGTAGTAACAATCTCCTTTAGTTTTTTGTTTGTTTGTTTTTTGTTGTTTTTTGTTGTTTTTTAACATTACTGGTTTGATGGTAAAACAAAACAAACAAACAAACAAACAAACAAAAAAAAAAAAAACTCCTTTAGCTTTTCCCTGTCTTAGAAGCTCTTAATTTCCCCTTCTATTTTATAAGATAGACTTGCAATAGCCAAGATTTGATAGCAGCCCAAGTGCCAATCAGTAGATGAGTAGATAAAAAAGCTGTGATATATTTACACAATGTAATACTACTCAGTCATGACAAAGAAGGAAATATTACTTTTGGTGTCAGGTTGGATGGACCTGGAGAGTATTATGCTAAGTGAAATATGCCAGTCAGAGAAGGACAAATATCATATGATTTCAATATGTGGAATCTAATGAACAAAATAACCAACTAAACAAAATAGAAACAGACTGGTGGATACAGACAACAGACTGACAGCTGTCACAGAGGGTAAAGCGGGGTGGGAGTTTGGTGAAGAATCTTAAGTGATTAAGCAAAGAAAGAAAAAACTCAGACACAGACAACAGTAAGGTGATTACCAGGGCAAAATGGGGGTGGGAAAGATAGAAGAGGGGAAAGCTGGGGTTAATGGTGATAGAAGGAGTAAAAATATTTTACAGACTTACTTGTAATTAATATTAATGGACAATATGGATGTAATATTCAAGGTTTGTTATACTCTTAGTGTGTGTAAGTATATAAAAATGATATTTTATATTTTTATACATTGTGCATTCTCTCTACATATACATATATATTATACATACGCATACATGTTATTTTACTTTTCCCTTTACCAGCAAGAACAATGAGAAAATTAATGAATCCCATTTCAGTTGAAATTTCTATACTCCAATTAATAAGTGCATTCTTACTGCCATAAGTATTTTTAAATTCTCAAATTTCACACATCACACCCAAAACAGCCCTTTGTAAGCCTTCTCAGAGTTGATTACTAAACAAAAATTGTTAAATCAGTAAATCCTTATTAGATATTTAATATGTTAAAGGTTTTGTGTTAACCAAAATTATAAAGATGAATTAAATGTAAGTCTCATTCTTAACTAACAATCAATATAGTATTTTGAATATTTATGCTAAATATGCAAATCACTACAATATAAATCAGAATATAATGCATATTTAAAAGCATAAGAGAGAACAAACTACATCAATTATTTGTCTAAAAGAAAAACACTTGTCTTAAAGAAAAATGAAGAAGAAATACTTCAGCCCTAGCAGGCTTGGCTCAGTGGATAGAACGTCGGCTTGGAGACTGATGGGTTGTGTGTTTAATTCTGGTCAAGGGCATATGCCTGGGTTTTGGGCTGGATCCCTAATAGGGGGCGTGCAGGAGGCAGCCGGTCAATGATTCTCTCTCATCATTGATGTTTCTATCTTTTCCTCTTCCTCTCTGAAATCAATAAAAAATAAAATGTAAAAAATTTAAAAAAAGTAATACTTCAATAAAGATAAATAAAGGTTATTTTACTATAGGTCATACAACTTTGAATCTAGATGCTAATTAAATGAAAAAAACCATGAATTGTAAAGAGCAGAAATATAATAGAAAATGTTAAAGCACTATATGAATTTCTTCCCTAGTTAATGGGGATAATGATCAGTAAAGCAAATTTTCCTTAGCTTATGATGTAAGTCACTTTACCTAATGTTTGTTTCTTAACTAAAACTTCCATCTGATTGTAATCCTATAACTTACAACAATTTTTAGTAAATCCCAAATTGCAGCCTGAGGCAACTCAGTTCAATTAATATCATTTCTAGTGAGGCAGCCAAAAGGAGGCAGAGCCCTCCATGCTGTAACAAGAATGTAGTCAAACTACAGATCCTTTCCCAATTACCTCATCAAACAGGGATTTTATTAGTCAGTTAGCATTGCCTCACCCCATGGCATTGCCGACACATAACAGAAACAGCATTTTGTGAAATGCTAAACAAATTGAAGAGGCAAATAATTTTAGCTTTTGAAAAGCTCAGCTTTTTGTATATTCTCATGGATATTCTTTTAAATGTTTATTAGATGGAAATGTAGCAGAAAGAAAATGGCATTGACCAGTGGTAAACATCCTCTGCTTCAATCTCATGCCATCTAGATTTTAGAAATCTCTTTCTTAGGACACCAATTAGGCACACAATGGCAGCATCTTATCTGCTTGCTTTACTAACAAATGTAAGCTTTAAAAAAAAAATCTAAGTCAGAATCTACAGGCTTGTCGGCTATA